ATGGGCTACATGGTGGTGCTCCACAGCCTTAAACGCCTCGGGATCCGCCCCACCCTCGTCCAGTGATTTCAGGAGCTGTGCCTGAAAAACTTGGAGCACTGCCATCGTGTGCAGCGCTCAGATCACTTCTCCCGAGGCGGCGTACTCTTTGTCCGCAACGTGTGCGGTCAGACGGCAGGGCCTGGATGGCAGTGTAGCACCCGTCTTCAGGGAAGCAGAGGAGGGGCAGAGGTGCGCGGCGATGGATTCCTCGACGGGCGGAATGTGCGTATATCCTCGGGCTTCCGCCCCGTCGACTTTAGTGAAGATCTCCGACCCGCCAGCGTGAGTGCGAGCCAATTGGGGCGCAGCCCACGCCTTAGCGACCTCGTCGTGCAAGTCGGGGAGGAATGGGGCTCGCTTCCTTGGAGCGGCCGCTCGGCGGCCCGAGTGAAGGAACCACGAATCCAGCTTGCTCTTAGCTGGTTCGTCGGGGGATTCCCACTCTAGACCGAGATCGCTCACGGCCCTGGTAAGAATCCGGACGAGCTCATCCTGGAATGCAGCATGTCCCTCCACTTCAGAGTGCTCCTCTGGAGTGCGGGCCCAGTCCTTCTCAGACGCCATTAGGGACAGCGCCTCGTCAAGATCGTCGTCGTCCCCCGCCGCACCGAACGAGATAATCTCCGAAGCGCCAGAGGTGGGTTGAAGACTCTCTTCTGCCAAGCACACAGGAGAGCGGGGGGGGTGAACTGCGCCGAGAGAAATCACCTAGGGCGATGACACTGAGAATTCCTCGCTGTGGAATTCCTCCGGTGAATTCCTCCGGTGAGTGCTGCCTCCGCATGGGCGAGATCCAGGCACCAGATGCAGAACTCGTGAGTGTCCGGGGCCTCGATGGGTCCCGAACACAGCGTGCAAACGTTGGACATGCTGGAACACCGAGAGGGAAATCCATCTTTCTGCGTTTTCTCCACAGCCGTCTTCGATAGGATGTGTGAAAGAGGAAGATTCTGAGCTTATGCCACCAATATGGCGCATTATATAGTGGCGGGGGCCCTGCACCTATTTGCCGTCTTGGCTGGCATTGGCCAGTGAGAGTTGCAACTTCACTGGCGTTGTGCAATAAAATTTCAGGTAGGTTAGGAAGGAAGGGAGTCCCCAAGGCATTAACGCCATGTCGAGAGACCGTTCTCGAGAGGGAACTTATGATATGCTTATCATTGTTTTTCAGTATACCATAGAAACATGTGGAAAAATAATCTACAAATACTGAAGCAGCAAACTTTGCAAAACACAAAATGTATGTCACTGCCAAAACGTATGGCCATGACTGTACACTATGGGACTGCCCACATTAATCCCATGATGGCCCAGTGTGGGCCAGACATGAGCCTGTTACTTAGAATTTTGTGGGCAGTTTTCTTCCTTACCACTAGGGATGCTAGAGTGTTTTAGGTTTCCTTAAGTAAAGCCATGTGGTAGAGAGAGTTAGCAATAGCAATAACAAGCAGCAGTAGCCAGCATAACTCACCTGCTGAGCACATTGTGCTGTGTCCTGGTTGGGAAATGTGTAATTTCAAGCCCAGTCTACACGAGTTTTTACATTTTTTTTTATTTAAAAGTGTACATTGCTGATGTTTTTTTGCGGAGATGGTACACGTATGTATGGCCTATGTTTGGATTTATGCTAAGAGTTTAAGACAGTGTATTTGTATCCATTGTTGAAGGACTCATTATTGGTGAGTTCACCACATCATGGTCCAGTTTGAATATGGATTTAAAGTTATTTTCGACGTGAGACCATAGTCTGGACTGTTTTTGACTGTTCCTGGTTAGGAAGAGTCTGGTGTTTGAGAGCTGTGGCTTGCTTTCATTACAAGAGGTTGGATTATTCATTTGCTATCAGTCAACTTCAACTATGGAAAGTGTTTGGACATTGATGTACTACACATCAACTTTCACATGACGAAATCCTACAATCTTACATTGCTTTGTTTGTTTTCTTTTGTACTTTTGTGTATTTACATTTTTGGCTATATGTTGCTGTATTAACCTGAATTAAATGTGTTCCATTTTATATTTAATAAATACATTGATTTGAAATCCCTTTGACTACTGTACATTTTTGACAATATAGACATTAGTTATGTGGTGACTGCATCAATTTCAGATGTATAATAACAACATAATTTTTCCCAAAGACTTAGGTTATAGTAGTTGAAAAGTATTTAAAGTGAAACAGATGTATTGTTATAGACCAGGGGTGCATCCTGTTCCTGGAGATCTACCTTCCCACAGAGTTCAGCTCCAACCCTGATTAAACAAACCTGTCTGTAATTATCAAGTGCTCCTTCAGATCGTAATAAGTTGGTTCAGTTGTGTTTGATCAGGACCAGGTTGGGCACCCCTGTTGTAGATTAATAGTGTGGGCCAAGTGAGGGCTGCCCATGCAGGGCCAGCACTCTCAGAGGCCCTGCGCTGGCATCCCGCTGGGGGCCCTTAGGCTAGCCCTAAGTGGGCCCGTAAAGGGCTAGAGCAGACTTGTTTGCACGGTCACTTTCAATCCACCTAAAAAGATCAAAACCGCTCATTAAAAGAGGGGTACTGATGATCTTTGTGCAAACACAGGCAGATCAAAAGTGCTGCGCGCATTCTCTCAAATTCGCTCGTAGCAGACGAGGGGAGAGCGGGGCCGCCCCCGCGAGTGCAGCAGAGTGAGACACGCTCTTGTAGCAGTCTCGGTGTGGGCGTGGCCCGGGCGAACGGCGCACTCAACTCAAAGCTATCAACGATATGAAGTCATTGGTGACAGCCGATCTGCTTAGAAGGATTGAGCCACTCGACGAAAGCGAGAGGCACTGATCCTCACGTGCAAAACACGCTGGCCGATCAAAGAGCTGCGTGGAGTGTGACTCACGCGGGAGCCGTGCCGGCGTAAAAAAAACACTCAAGCCCGATCGTTCAACCCGCGCATTCGCTGTTTCTTTCTCCGATGTAACTGGCAGGGGAGAAACGCGAGAGCAGGGACAGACTCGCGCTTCAAAAGTGAAAGCAGCCTCCGCAACGCACACAAATGCGAAGCTGCGCCGCTTGATGTAATGAAGGGCTCTGATCCTCGCGTGTAACACACACACACACACACACACACACACACACACACGTTGTGTTTCCATGTTTTATGGGGACATTCCATAGGCGTAATGGTTTTTATACTGTACAAACTGTATGTGCTATTGCCCTACACCAACCCTACACACACACACACACACACACACTGGTGGATCAAGCGAGGCATGCGGGATGTGTGTCAACGTAAGATCACTCAAGCCTGATCACTCAAACCGCAAGTTCGCCGTTTCTTTCTCCGAGGTAACCGGGAGGGGGAGAAACATGAGAGCGGGAGGGGACCAGCGAGCGAAGCAGGAACAGACTGGGGCTTTAGAATGAAAGCAGCCTGTCTGAGCGCAGCTTCAGCACACACAATGCGGAGCTGTCAACAATAGAGCCTTTCGCACCACAGGAACCTTTTCATAGTACCAGAACTAATTGTGGAACTACCTACTTTTTGGCGTTTTCGCACCGCCGGAACTGGTAAAACACACCGGCGGATCAAAGTGCAGCGGGGAGTGCGGGCACGCGGGCTCTATGCGATTGCTCAATGGTTGCTCAGACCCGTGGCTCTGCTGTTTCTATCTCCGAGCTTTGCTGAGAGAGGAGAAACGAGAGAGCGGGTCAGCCTTCGTTAGAAGGCGAGGCGCGAGTGGAGAGGGGAGAGACTCCTGCTCTCAGCGAGAGCATTCTGTCTCAGTGAGGTGCAGTCTCTGCGTGGGGGCTGCCCAGACAGGCGACGCACTCACTACTCCTCTGCATCCTGCAGGGCTCCCTGCATGAGCCACACTCGCAGCGCGACATTTGCAACAACATCACCAGAAAATTTGCTCTTTTAAGAACTTACCTCTTAGAAATAAGCTGTTTAGGCTCGCCGGATGGCGGCAGGGGAATTAGCTGGAATCTCTGCTGCTACGATGCTGAAGGCGGCGGGAGGAGTGGCAAATCAGCTGAGTTGAGAGGTCGCTGGTCCAGCTTAATCCACTGCAGAGTCGTGTCAACGGCAAGCTCTTCAGTCAGCGGAGATCGCGAAGAACGTCGTCATCACTGAAGGAGAAGAAATCTGAATCCTATGGCGAATTGGCTGCTTATATAGCCAGATGACTACACGGGCTTCGCTGCCATAGGTTTGTGCAGTACCACTGCCGAGCCATTGGTTCGTTTTTTAAAAACATACTGCACGAACCAATGGCCGTGCAGTTTCACTGCATGATTGAAAAAGGCTTCAGTTCGGGAGAAAAAAAGGACTTTTTCCCATAGCGTCTAGCAAAGACGCAGTACGAGTGTAGTATCGAAAGGGAACAGTCGGTTAATGTCTATGAAGGTAAACAGCTGGGTTTAAATCGCATGTTTATTTTAGATCTGTGTGGCAGCAGCAATATACATTAAATTAAACAATAAATCCACTGCTCTCTTGTCTCCTCTGAGGCTGGGACTTTATTGTTCTGTGCTCGTCTGTTCAGCCAATGACAGAACACTTAGCATGTTCTGCTCAAACTTTCGCTATGGCATTAGAACTAGTACTGTTGTCGCTTGCGAAAACACAGAAAACACAATAACGGCGGTGTGGGTGGAAACTTACAGATTAAGGGGCGGTAATATTATAATGAGATCCCTTTGCCATGTCACCAAGGGAGCAAAATCAGACGTGCTTGTTTTCTCAGATGCTTGCAGAAAAAGGCTTACCAAAACAAAGTTACTGGGTTAATCTTTTTCACGTTTCCTTGGTTGGTAGATGCACCGGGGACCTGATTATAGCACTTAAAACCTGGAAAAGTCAGATTTTCAAGATATGTCACCTTTAACATTATAACATTAATACTGCATAATTTGCAAATAGGCAATGGAAATCAGGAGCAACAACACATGAAATCTCTTAAACACTGATTACAAATTTTTTTCTTTTTTATTTTATCTGCACATATTAACACTTTTCCCTGCACTCAATAAACAAGCACTAGTGCTACTCACCACATACAGAAGAAGAGACATTTTCTTTTAATTTGAGAGAAGCAGGTCATGCTTTTGATGAGGATTTCCACACTTCTCTACCCATGATGAAGCTGCCTAGTGTCACTTAATACTCCGTTTTGGGCATCTCTGTAAAACCTTTATCATGCAGTGTGTTTTAACACCGTACCATTTTTATGTCAAATCCATTACAGCCTACCACTACAGAAACCTCATCAGAGCACTCAACATAAAAACATCAATTCCACTTACATTGCTTTAAACAAAACGTTATTAAAGCTCAGGGCCAGCACACACAAGAAACAAATAATAGGTTTTAGGTGAGAGATGTGCCCTGACACATAAAATCACTAAATGGGTGGGTAACGCTTGGCACCATTCAACCCTGGTCCTGTGCATGACAGAAACTGACTGTTTACATTGACTATCACCCAACAGCAGCACATTTTTTTTTTACACAATGTTACGATAACATTACATTACACAGAAAAAAAAAATCACCCCTCTACATTCAATAACAATGAGGACCTGAAACAAAATGCATTAGTAAAAGGAATAGTTCACCACTAAATGGAAATTAATTCTTTACTCACCTTGTGTTGCTCCAAACTTGTATGGCTTTCTTTCTTCCTTGAAACATCTAAACCATACATAGTACTTATTTGCTGTATTTCAAGTCTTATGATAGTTTTGTGCGAGAAACAGAACAAAATGTGAGTCTTGTTTCCACTGATAAACTTTCCCGTCAGTGAGCTGTTAACTCGAGAACTGCTGTAACTGGATCATCACGTCTGCAAGTTAAACAGATCAGTCTGATTATAAGCACATCATTTACTGGATCAACTAGTTCCTTTAAAAGACGCACCTCAAGATACCAATGAATTCAATGATCCAGATCTTGAGTTCATCTCACTTAAATCAGTGAACTGGTACAATGTTTCTATAACAACTCATTGGAGGGAAAAAATATCAATAAATAACAACAAATGTTCTTCTTGTGGCATCAGAAGACTTGAATTGTAGCACATGATTCATACAGGCTAGATTCATTTGCTTTTATTTCTGTACTTTTTTGAGCTTGACATATGTGGTCACTATGAACTGTCGTTGTATGGAAAGAGCTGTGTGAAGATTCCTCAGCAATGCCTTTATGTTCCATCAACAGCTCAATGGTTTGGAACAAGGTGATGGTGAATAATTCATGAGTTTTTTTTAGTTTTGGGTAAACTATTCCTCTTAGCACTGGCGCTTGGAAGAATGATGTCCATTTTCCCATCTGTCACAGAAACGTCTGCAGAATACAGTAAACTACAGTAAACCAAAGTACTTGAAATCATAATCAAATGATGGAAAGTAAAACAAATTACATTATTCTATAATAAACCGGCCCAGATCTGAACCTGTAACAAAACATTGCAGTTTACAACACTCTCAAAACATCAACCAATCACAAAAGGAGCAAAGAACTCATGGCTGTTTCTTGATTGCATGAATATTCAATATAATATGTGCCTGTTTTCCTCAGAAAGCATTTACAACAGCTGCAAGAACAAACCCTCTGAGGTCATATAACATTCCCTTTATAAAAACAGAACGGAACAAAACAAAAAACACACACAGCTCAAATGAAAGCTATGTTTTTTTTTCTCTGTACACCATTAAAAGTAGTTTAATGGTAGTGAGTGCACGACGCTGGGTGAGACACAATACACTGTGACTTCCTCCTACATCCAATAATCAATGTACGGATATTTCAGCACGTGTACAGACACAACTTCATACTGTGTATACTGTAGTGATTCAGGAAGGGGTGAGAAGAAAATACACAGACTCTGGGTGCTCTGGGTGTTACATTCACACAGCTTTATCACTGATTGGACGAATGGATGGTCTAGCTCTGTGGTGAAGCTCCAGAACGTAACGGTGAAACAATCTCCTGGCCTATGCTGACAGGCGTGAGGGTTTGGGGCTAGTTCTCTTCCCATTTCAGCAGTGACTCTGGAGGTCTGGGGTAATAACCTGTCGTGATGGGCTTATCTGAAGAGAATCTCTGGAACTTGAAGTCTAGAGGAAGATCTAGAAGAGAGATGGAACAGGTGGAGGTTTCACAGACAAAATATAAAACAAACTTGAAGTACAATAAAAATTAAATATTTATACAGAAAAAGTCTTAAGATTGAAATATTTAAAGCTGCAGTCCGTAACGTTTTTGGTTAAAAATGATCCGAAATAATATTTGAGCATGTACATAACCAGCCAGTGTTCAAAACTATCGCCTTACTTTAGCCCGATTCACAATTGTAATGCTTTTTTCCTCAGTTGGTCAGAACAAATGTGGCAGACTTGTTACTTACTTGTTCAGATGGCAATATACGGTGAAAATTCTTATTTGGGTCATATTCCAAGACGTAGGCTAGAATCTGTGATTCTGAAGTACAGTAAATATCCACACCGGTGCGGTGACTGACTGCCACACATACTCTTCAGAACATTAGATTCATCGGCGCTGGAGCCGTGCCGACTCACAACTCACGCAAGTAAGATAATTCCGCACACAGCTGCAATTCCAGGTTTTCAAACAGAGATGGCGACAAAGAGGCAAAACTTACGGACTGCAGCTTTAATAAAAAAAAAAAAATGTAAGAGTGCAACAAATGCCCCAGATGGTAGGGGACAACTCTATCAATTGAAAAGATACCATTTTACACCAAATAAGAGTATACATCAAATAAGTAATAATTAATTACTATTGATTAAATAATTATTTTATCTTTCATAAATGAAGGAAATGGGCTAAATTATATAAATATACTGATAATCTAATCAGCCAAAATAGTCTTTAAAATGTAACATTCCATTTAATCATTCAGAACACACTTTTATTCAAAGTGAAGAAACGTCACAAAAAAACGTTCTGTACAAGGGTCAATATTTGCAGTACTGCAAAACCGAATAATGTCCCTATAAAGCTACAAAAAAAAAAGAGAAGCAGAGAACAAGAAAAGAGTTCTCTTTCAGTTCAGTGCAAATGGTTTTCAATACAATTTTACTTTCATGTTGCGTGTTTCTGTGTTATAATATCTCCATGTTCGAGAAAAAAAAATTGCCTAGCAGCTAACCATTATTTACACACGTCATCAAAATCAAGTGATGATCCATTATGCTGAAAGACATCACTAAAAACTTTTTGATAGTTAAAAGTTTTTTAAAAAAGAGTTTAGTGATTTATCTAAAATGTAAAATCCAGATGAAGTCTTGATACATTTAAAAGGCCCATATTATTCTCATTTACAGGTGTTCTACTAGAATATGAGTTAAATGTAAAAAATAAAATAAAATAAAAATAAATAAATAAATAAATATATATATATATATATATAAAATAATATAGTGTCAGTGTTTATGTCCATACGAAACACTGACCAGCATCAAACTGCCTGAACCAGTCATTTTTCTAAGCTTTTTCATCTTAGACTTTTGGCTCCCGCTGTATGAACTGAACACGTCACTAAAGAAACAGTTACCAGCAGTGTAATCAATCTGCAAAGTTACAAAGCACAAAGTCACACTTTGTGCTATGCAACATTGCAGATCTATTACATACACAAATACCCACATTACACACTAAAAGAAAGGTCAAGTCCAAAAAAGCATAATAGGTCCCCTGTAAGTTTCAGGTCTTTGATTAGTCAGTTCAGAAATGAAGAGTCACCAAACTCTGCAAATGATACCCGTATTCATTGGATCCTCATTTCCCATGTTGAGGCTTGGCTTTGGAATTAAAGAGAACGGAAAACCCCTGTTAACTGTTTCCTCAGTGATGTGTTCAGTATATACAGCGGGAGCCAAAAGCTTCAGACGTGATTGAAAATTAAATCTTAGAACAGAACTATAGGATTTTGAAAGTTATGATGTACAATTTCTAGTTCAGAATTTATCCAAAGCCACATTCATTGCATTCAACATATTCAACTGTACTGGCTAAGGAAAGTTGTCATTAAACGAAAAGGGTGAAATGACAAATATTATGTTTTTTTATATACTAAATACTAAGAAATCTTCTTTTCTAAATGAGAAAAGAATGCAAAATGGAAACATTTTCAGTAGCAGTTTGAGACTTTTGGACCCCCTGTATGTTAAATAGACTTACCTGCTATAGCCTCAATGCTGGGTATAGCCATGGTGCTGTATGTGTGGATACTGTGGCAACACCAGGTGAGACTCTGTGTCTCCTCTCCTTCATTCTTTTGCACATCCACAAAATATGAGCCCCACTGGTTTGATACAGCTGAAGGAGATTTCATTCCTTGATCCTAAGAGAAAGATTACATGAAAGACAGAAAGAAAAAGAGAGAGAGAGAAAGAGAAAGAGCACAAGGTCAGTCAAGCCTGACGAAACCCATGTGTGCAGCATCAGACATAACGCTACATAATTCAGCATGCCAGAGAGACTGTGTTGAGATTTATGTGATATAGCATTTAGCTTTAAAAATGGGAGTCTGGAGTGGCCTACTTAACAGTTGTAGATAATATGGTCCCAAACCAAAATGGACATAATGTTTTCACCAACCGCTGACCATACATCATACCTTACTGTTAAGAGATGGTGAGTCGCCATATGTCAGAGTGCTGTCAGCAAGGCTATATTTACGACTACTAAACATTTACAAGTAGGTAGGAAATGTTTCCTTATATTTTTTATTACAACATCCAATTTAACTCTTCACTCTTCTGGTGCAGATTCATCACAACATAGGCAGATGCCAGCACAGACAAGTTTCAAGTTTCATGGCATGTATTCATCTTTAAAAACCAAACACAAGGCAAAAGCAAATATGACTTAACTTGCAATTAGAATAAACGTCAACCAGAAAGAAAGCGTTTTGTCCAATAAATTATTGACAATGAAAATAAATATAAATTAAATTAAAAGTTTAAGGACATGCTTTTGAGTTGGGTCACCATTTGATGTCCAGTATAAAAGCAGAGATCTGAAGCAAACAATTTCTCTCAGCTTGTCAAGATGCAACTGAACAGAAGGACTTCAACAGAGTGAAACTCTCTGATCTGCGAAAAAAGGAAGCGTTTGATCAGAAATTCCCATAGTTTGACAGAAAAAGGAAAACTTGCATAACACTGGCTCTGACTTTTTGAAGCAAAGGAAATAAATGAATCACAAAATACAAAGGTGTCACAATTCACTCAGGGAGCAAGGAACAAGGAGTACTTGAATAACACTGTCTTTAATAATCCACAGGAAAACCGAGAACAAGGAGGAAATTCAACAAGTAGACCCAACAAACAAGAACTGAAAGGACTAGGGCTTTTAAAGGCAGGATAATTGGGGAGGAATGAGACACACCTGGAATCAAATTAACACAACCAACATGAGGAAGAAACTGGGTCACAGGGGCAAAAACACACACAGAATAGTCCATAATCCTGACAAAAGGAAACCAAGTCTGAGATGTAAATCTGGTAATTTCCCAACAAAAATAACCTCTTATGTGTTCTACTTTTTAACAAGGTTTTTCAAAATATCAGTATAATAAAATTGAGTAGAGTCCATAAACTGTAATACGATTATTGCATAAGCAGTGACAAAATCTCATTAAGGTCACTAAAAATGAACGAAATAAAGAAATAAAGGAAAAAATAGAATAGGGTAAGATGTGTCAGTGCCTTAATCTAAGACATTGTGCATGATTTAAATTGCACATATTTCTACATTTACATGGAGAAAATATTCACTTGGTCTTGTTGAAAAAATGTAAAGTGGAGTGTCTTTTTTCCTAAAAATCCATAATTCTACTAATGTATTCTTTCTCTTAATTTCAGTAACAAACATTCTGAAAATTAATTAGTTACATTTGTTTTACAATATCTCTAATTTCTCCTAATCAAACATTTTAGACAAAGTTACATTTCCAAAGACCAGTCAAAATTCAGTGAAAATGAAGACAAATGTCAAATACATTCACCTCAAAAACTGAATTATAAACCCTAAATGACACACTAAGGTGTTGACTGATTCTTAAAACTGATTTCCTCAAAAATGATATTTCTGCTGTATAAACACATTTTTACAAGAACATCCACTATCTTTCCTGTAATTCTCCACTTCCTCCTTCCTGCTAACTGCATTTCCTCTCAGTGGTGTCTCTGTAAAATTCAGATCATCTGATTGTATGCAGAAACATTCAGCTGTTTTTCAGATCTCCGCTGAAACATTCAAGATCACAATAATTATAGTACATGCATTTTTTGAATTGGAATTACTAGCATACTTCTGACTCATTCCAAAAGATCTCAATAGGAATTTTCTGATAGGATTCTAACAAAACACAAACTATATATTTTAAAACTATATAGTTCCCAATAGGATTATTATGAACTAACAGGAATAAAATAAGATCCTACTGAATAAACTGAACAAAAAATGTTTTTTTTTGTTTTTTTGATGGCGATATACAGTATTTATGCCACATACAGGCAAGCACATACATAGTTCCAACTCACAGTACCCCAGAAATGAAGTGTGGAAAAGATCCCGGGCTTGACTAAACAGAAACAGCCTTTCACTCTCACCTCAAATTTGCCCTTTTTCTCCACCGGCCCTTCACTCGGGGTGGGGCTGTTACTGGGGGTCGCGTTAGCACGTGGAACACCCTCCCCCTCCATCTCCTCCACTATCATCACCGTCTCCCACTTTCCAAAGCTGCAGGCTGGGAACATGTCCGAGCGCATGCTGTCTCCGAAGTACACCACCTGCATCAGATAAGACACACATGTGGACTCAGATCAGTGCACACACACACACACACACACACGCACAAATTCAGTACAGCCAGTACGCAACGTCATTTCATTTCTAGCCACAGAAACACTTTATAATAAACAACATTACTACATTATGTAATGCTTAAAGGGATAGTTCACCCAAAAATGAAAATTTGATGTTTATCTGCTTACCCCCAGGGCATCCAATTTTTCTTTAGTGTGTTTTGCATGTGTAAGATCTGCAAAGTTAAAAAGCTCAAAGTCTGCCACAAAAGGATTTCTTTCTATTCAAAAGAGAAGGCTGACCGGAGCTTGCTGAAAATGCCTCGATCGAACACTCCCTCACATATCTATGTCACTATGTCGAAATATTTGCATAATGCCGCCCAGATGTATACGTAAAGAAAGAAGGCATTGTTTCAAGTATCATAGTAGTGTTGTTGCCGCCATGTTGTGGAGACACTGTGTGCTTCTATGCTTTATTTGGCCTTCCAAATCAGTGGAATCAGTGGTTAAGATTTATTTACAACCCAATGTTTGAGTGTGTGCAGCGCATTTTACAGAGGACAGTTTCCTGAACCTGGGAGAGTACAAGGCCAGCTGTGCACAAAGGCTGTTTATAAAAAATGGGGCAATTCCAACTTTGCAAGGACATTCTGGCTCTTCTGAATCAGAGCCCGTAAGTATGTTTTATTATTTGATACTGACTGTTCAAATGCAGAGTTCGGTGAAGTGTAAAGTAATGCATATTGTTTGTCGTTCTTACCATCACAAGTGCAGAGATGGATTTGTGTTTACAAACATAGTATCCTCTGTTCTCCGCTTATAACTGACGGTGAAAAGATGACAAACATAGATGCACTACGAGTTCTGTTTCACACTGGATGCTCAAGCAGAGCTGAAGCCGCACGCACCCATTCCGCTCTTATGTGTTCGGCTCAAATCGCGCTTGCCAAGTTGGTTTCGATCGATCGGCTTGGTCATCTGCATTTTCAGAATCTGACTCAGGCTCGAACTGATGGTAAATCTGACCCAGATAGCACACGTACGTCTGCAAGATGTCTGTTAAAGATCGCTTCATCTGGAAAGCATCTACTGTGTACAAACATCTGATAGACGTCTTTAAGATGTCAGTTTTACATTCATTCTAAATCATAAACATCTTAAAGACATCTTCTAAACGTCTATTTGACATCTGATAGGAAACACCCTATAGACGTATTGCAGATGAGCAAAAACTCTAAAAAATAAGTCTTGCAGATATTAAATAGACGTCTCTGTGATGTTCGTGTGCTATCAGGGGACAGCATTATTAACTACTTATAATTTGCGATTATGGTAAGGCCGGGTGTACACGGTGCGATTTTTGCTGTCGTACAAGCTCGTATGTGATTTTCTCCCATCGGGAGAAATGACGAGCAGAGCGCCTCCCGAGTGACCGATAATTTTTAAGCATGCTTACAAAAATCAAGGAGTCGGCCCGATTTTGACCAGTATATGGGCCATTCTACAGAATTGGTCCAAACTGCTGTCCCACAACCAAAAAACACATTTTAAAAGCATTTAAGTATTCAAATCTTATGTTTACTAAGATCCTTCTATTATCTATTGAAACCCACAATAATATTTAAAATATTAGTGAGCTTAATATATATAAAATCATAATTTATTGGGTACTTTCAATTGGGAGGTTGCTGTCCCGAACCCTAACCCATTCATTTCAACTTATGAAAATTATATTGAAATAGTTTTTGTATTTTTTCCATTGTTATTTTTTAAAATATATTTTGGATTCTTTTAAAAAGTGAAGTTCAAAGAAATGTATTTTATATTTTCTTTGTAAATTATGAAACTTTATGTAAAAAAATGTGTCCTGCATTTTCATGTCACTACCGAAACAGTGTATGTTTTAGTCCATTGGCTGAGACTGCATTTATGATCAGGAAATATTTATGTGTCTCTCTCTCTCATAGCTACAGGTGAGTAGATAGGTCCCATCATTTTGAGGTAAATGTGCTCAAAAGTCTGAAAAATCTGTGTGTAACTCTAAGGAACGTTACTACCGAACACCTTTTTTTCTGCAATAAAGCACACTTTTTTGGGAGTTTTTCCCATATCATTTAACCATGTGCTGATTAGCATCTTTGAGATAGGGTCAAAAGTATCTAAAATTGTCACTACTGAAACATTTGGTGGAGTTTCGGTAGTGACATCCTTGTTTTTTTTTTGGTGTTATGCCATAAAATTGTCACTTCCGAAACAGTCACGACCGAAACATGTCACCATTGTTTCGGTAGTGACAAAAGGAAACACATAATCCTCATATTTGGGGGAAATAAACAAAACTTTAGTAGTTATGCAATTGTTTTGTATTTTAATATGTTTTAGTAGTGTTTTAGTATGCAAGTTAAAATTCTGTAATGTGATGTGGTCACTACCAAAGCATTACTGTCACTACTGAAAATGGTATGTTTTGTCAAAAATAAAGTATACTGAATTATCAACTAAGATGTTATGATTGTTTTTGGTTCAATGCATATTCAAACTAATGAATCCTTAACTTTGAAATCAGTATGATCAACTTTTTGCCTTTTACAAAGAAAAATTGGGTTCAAAATGCAACAAATCTCATAAATTACACTTGAAATATTGTTAAAAATGCAATTGCTATTGATTTACGTCTGACAATTTTTTTTTATAAAATAGCAAAAAATATATATTTACAATGTAGATGTAAACAAAATCTTAATATGTCAATATAACCCTTCTAATTAAATTATGATTACTGTGTTTCAGTAGTGACAAATTTGGGGAGAGGACAAATATTCCAAAACTTTCTGAAAATACAATATGATAATTAACTGCACAATTACTAGAAATGTGTACCTTAGATATTATACAATTTGCATACATACAATTTTTTTGGAAAAAAAAGAATTTTTTTCAAGACGTTTCCAACTCTGACTTTGGACCAATTCTGTAGAATGGCCCATATAGGCTCTCCCATATTACCAAATCATATACAACCACATCACATACACTAGATTTATGTATAATATTATATCAAAATATATAGCTTCACATATATTTTGTGCCATTCATTACTATGGCGCCATTCATTACTATGGCGCAAAGAGCGCTCCCTTTATACTCACTAAAAAGCAGTCACTTATCTTAGTTCATTGCAATCTCACAAAGTACTGTTATAATCAATGAAGCGCTACACTGCACAATGAATCTCTTTTTACATCACGTCTACACTTTGTAATAATGAGATGATTCGCAAGCATGCAGAATTTAGCGCTGGACAAATCTCCAGCTTTGCGAGCAGTGAGTGGATTCTAACAAAAATGCCTCTGATTGACCATTGCGTTCAAGAATGTTCTGATTGGCTACATTGCTCACTGCTGCAAAAACATGTTGTAAAGGGAAACTTTTGACATACTCCAGAGCGCAAACACAAATAGGCCCCAGATTGTTTGCCAAATATGTAATATTATTATTACAGCTTCAACTGAGGGTGCTCTTGCTTTTGTTTGAACACCCCCGAAGAACAGGGCCTTTCACTGCAATTCATCATTTGGATTAAAACTAAATCATAAATATAAAACAAACAAAAATTATAGGGGAATTCACTATAAACAACATTTATTTTAAACGTCAAGCATACATGACTTTATTTAAAGCAAAAAGTAAAACTAGCAGCCTCTGTGAAGTGCGCTAGGCTATACGTGTCTCTCTCATTCTGCACCGATACAAATGTGTGCACTTGTTGCGCATGTTTTGCTTCACTTACTTGATGTTAACTGCATTATATGAGTCGCTTTGGAATATAAGTTGCAGGACTTTTCAGAAAAATATGTCCATTGCTGTTACAAGATCTATGTATAACAAGTGGTCCCCTGCATTATTAAAGGAAAACTTCTTGTGATTACAGTATTGAGCTGCTGCAATGGAGCAGCTCCAATGCGTTGTTAAATGAAAGATGAAATACCATAGAGCAATCAAATGAACAGTGAAAGTAACAAGTTAATAATATAACAAAACACTTGTAAGCTAAAAATTATTGACCAGTTTGAATTGAAATTATTGAACAAAATATAGCTCCAAAAAAATACCCATGGGAAAATCTAAACACCCAGAAGGATTTCAGGTAGGTTTCAAAATGCTACAGCAACCGTAAAGCCTGAGCCTCCATACACACAAGCCTGTTTCTGTCATACCTCTGTACCTTTGCATTACACACAGGGAGTATCTGCAGTCATATTCAAAGACTAGGAAACAGTCCTGTCCTACCTTGGGCTCTGATTTGTTGGACATGGTCTTCAGTAGTTCGTGTAGATGAGGCCAGTTGCCCTGAGAATACCAACCAGGCTTTTCCAGAGACGGCAGCCCTTCACTATCTTCAACATCATTCACTATTGAGACCCAGATGAGAAAGTGGGTAATATTTTAAGACCGATTAAATAAACTGCATCTATACATAATGAGTATAACAAATAATACTTCTGTACAGTAATACTTAATTCACTTGGCTTTTCTACAGCATGTATAGTTCTGAATTGACTGAATAATAATACAAAGACAATAAATAGAGAACATCTTTCTGCACTGTCCTCACAGCACACAGCATAAACACTGCAGTCGATTTCAGAGTCCTGGCAAACATCTGTTAGCTCCTCACCCAGCGTTCTGAAAGGTCTCTGCTGTGGAACCAAAGAGAAGAATCCAGGCTTCAGAGCATTAGTGATAATGATGTCAAACAGCTCCTCAAAGTCCATTCTGCAAAAAATGAGATATTATTTGTAGGGAGATATTTGGATGCCAAAATTCTCTGCATTGCCCAGAATCCTATGCTAAATAAAAAAAGTCATTTCCCACTGTGTTCCCCTCACCATGCATATGAGTTTCTTACTAGATTTAATTAATTCAAACAAAACACTGGATCTTGGGCTAGAGGAGAACTGGCCCCCCGACTGAGCCTGGTTTCTCCCAAGGTTTTTTCTCCATTCTGTCACCGATGGAGTTTTGGTTCCTTGCTGCTGTCGCCTCTGGCTTGCTTAGTTGGGGACACTTCATTTCCAGCGATATCGTTGACTTGATTGCAAATGATTACAAAGATACTATTTAAACTGAACTGAGCTGGATGATGACATCACTGAATTCAATGATGAACTGCCTTTAACTGAAAAATGAGTGTTTACTATTGTCACTTTGCATTATTGACACATCCTAATTAATGCTGTACAGTTGCTTTGACACAATCTGTATTGTTAAAAGCGCTATATAAATAAAGGTGACTTGACTTATTCACTGTGTAAATAAGACTTTGAATTCTAAAGGTTTTATATTGTTAATAACTCTGGCAAAGTCTTGATTTAATAAAACATCATTTTTTTCTCATTTCAATATTTTATTATTCATTTATTTCTTTTGTGTATGCTGTATTTGTGGCGTACGTAAAACTCACCCGAGTATGTGCTCGCACACGAGGCGGCAGTAGTCCGAGTGTGAGCTGGTGATGAGCAGCAGGATTTTCCCGCTGTTCTTCATGCTCCTCAACCATCTCTTCACCGCATCTGAGCAGGGCTGCAGGTAACTGCCAGGACAGCACTTCACACTGGGGAAATACGTCCCAGTGTCCTCTAAACATCAACATTTAAGAACACAACAGAAAAAAAAAACAGAATCTACATATATGAAATCTTTCACAAGTTTCAAACATAGGGTCATTTTAAGGATTTATTGTTTTCTTTTATTGTCAAAATATTATCAATATGTAAATTCAATAACAGATCAAATTATTCAAATAGAGAACAGTATAACACGCAAACATATTTAAATATATGAATATTTGTAATAATATTTTACAATAAATGCAGCCTTGGTGAGCAATCAAGCAATAAAAGTTGAAATAACAATCAAGCAATTAATTAATAAAATAAATTGAAATAACTTCAGGCTTGCCACAGTATTACTTAATAGAACAATACTTTTTAATAATTTGTTTAAACACAAAACATACAAATATGCAACAAATAATACAACAACAGTTATTAGATCAAATAATCACATTTATAATAACATGAAATTAAAAAAACTAACTAGCAACAACATAGTTTAAATCACATTTATAAACATTAAACTAATATTAACCATAGAGACTAAGAAATGCATGCACAATTATTAAACAAATGGAACTTAGGATAATATATGATCATATATATAAGGGTCAATTTTTTGATTTATGCATCATCTGAAAGCTGAATGAATAAGCTTTCCACTGATGTATGGTTTGTTAGGATAGGACAATATTTGAAAATCTGGAATCTGAGGGTGCAAAAAAAATCAATAATTTTGACCCATACAATGTATTTTTGGCTATTGCTACAAATATACCCCAGCGACTTAAGACTGCTTTTGTGCTCCAGGGTCACATATGTTTATTTTTAAGATCATATATGCTCACCAAGGCTGCATTTATAGTAAAATATTATTAAAAATATTAATATATTGAAATATTTTTGTGTGTGTTTTACTGTTCTCTATTTGAACAAGTTTTGAAATGTAATTTATTCCTGTGATACAAAGCTGAAATTTCAGCAGCCACTATTCCTGTCTCCTTCAAAATTCTTCTAATACACTGATTTCATTCTCAAGAAACATTTCTTTTTATTATCAATGTTGAAAACAGTTGTGCTGCTTACTATAATTTTTCAGGATTCTTTGATGAATAGAAAGTTCAAAAGAACAGTGAAAAGAAACATAAAGCTTGACTATCACAAAACATGTCTTACAAAATTGAAATCAATATATTGTTTTCTGTACAAGACTAATCACTCAAAAATCTTATTCAGAACTATTCAGTATAGGTTTTATGGCCTTATTTCAGCTACATTTCCCCGCCCAAAACTTACTAACCACGCATAATCTTTTTTTTTTTCTAAAAAATGCAAACATGAATCAATCTTGCTCACATATTATTGTAGCACAGTTTGTGCTGAATACAAAAAAAATAAATAAATACATGTTGGCCAATAGTATGTTATAAGTAGCTGAAATAAGCACAAATGTCAGGGCATGTCAAAACATTTCAAGGGCCCCAAAATCACCTCAGACCCCAGAGGGTTAATTGGAAATGTAATACTGTAAAAAGTCTGTACTGTCAATGTCTGTGTTAATTTTAGACCCTGCCTACAGCACTGCCAGCATTTAACATCCTTTAGATTATTTCTATCTCATCTTTATTTCTTATCCTAGCGTTCTATCTGACCTAACCCAGCCCATATGGTTTACATCAATCAGACACACACGACTCATGATTCCAAAACTTTTTCCACAGCCCACATCTGTCAAACAAAAACATACCCACGCAGTTTGCCAAATCGCAGACTTCCAGATTGAAACAAATCAGTATAAGAACATGTCAAATGCTTCGCTTCCACACTGAAAGCCGAATTTATTTACAAACCACACAAAACCAAAATTACTTGAGGAATAAAACCAAGATGAATGGAAAATTAGAACCACTGGAGTGTGTAGATTGTCGAGTTGTTAGTGAAAGAGTAAAAGTATCAGTATACAGCCGGCTTACTAAAACAGGAAGTGAACTGTGTTCGCCTGGAGGGAAGGAATGTGCTCCATATGTGAGAAGTACCGTGTCTTCATTTCATGAACAGGAGACTTGGGAAAAACAGGCATATTCACTAGTCTTCAGTTTATATTGGCAAATACTGCCGCACCACGTACACACAGCCACGTCTCCGAGCCCTCAACACATCTCACACAGGGGAAGTCGTGGCCTAATGGTTAGAGAGTCGGACTCGTAACCCAAAGATTGTGGGTTCGAGTCTCGTACCGGCAGGGATTGTAGGTGGGGGGAGTGAATGTACAGCGCTCTCTTCCACCTTCAATACCACGACTGAGGTGCCCTTGAGCAAGGCACCGAACCCCCAACTGCTCCCCGGGCGCCGCAGCAAATAATGGCTGCCCACTGCTCCGGGTGTGTGTTCACGGTGTGTGTGTGTTCACTGCTGTGTGTGCGCACTTTGGATGGGATAAATGCAGAGCACTAATTCCGAGTATGGGTCACCATACTTGGCCACATGTCACGTCACTTTCACTTTTTCACTTTCACACTCACACGCTGCAACGGCTGTCAGGCTACAACACACTGGGCTCTGCTGAAAAGTATGTGTGTATAATAAAAGACAGAAAGAGTATAAACGTATTCAATTAACAAGGCGAATAGAAGCATTTACAGTAGTGGTCTCTTCCAGAAACACTATTTTTTTTGCACAACTCACAACTTTTATATAGATGTATAAATGTTTGCTTGCCTGTTCATGCAGGTCCGTAAGAGCACACATTCATATCTTGTGCATTTTGGAGTGTTAAAGTGGACAGTGTTCGCAAGGACACATCTTATTACAATATTTAGACATATACCAGTTATATAGACATTCCCCTTTAAATGGACTTTTGTCAGCCTTACAATTTGTACAAAATAAGAGGTTCACATATTAAAATCTATAAAAAAAAAAAAAAAAAGTGAATATAAATCCAAGTGAATTACTTTTACCGTGCTGCCCCCATGTGGTAAACACCTCGTATTACTCCCACAATTCTTTTTTTAAAAATAAACATTACATGACATTTTTAGTGCAATTATGAGAAAAGATGTTTTCAGACTCAATTGAGAAATTGTCACATATTAAAATCTATAAAAAAAAAAAAAAAAGTGAATATAAATCCAAGTGAATTACTTTTACCGTGCTGCCCCCATGTGGTAAACACCTCGTATTACTCCCACAATTCTTTTTTTAAAAATAAACATTACATGACATTTTTAGTGCAATTATGAGAAAAGATGTTTTCAGACTCAATTGAGAAATTGTTTCTGTCTCTAATTATAGATATTTGGTTAAATAAATGAGAAAAAAAGCGTTTGTCTATGATTACAGGAGTTTTAAAACATTTCGATGTTAAGGACCTCAAATAAGCTGTATGGCTACTGAAGATAAAGTTTGGTGTTGTAAATTGTTTTGAAAGCGTTGAAGGTTTTATCGGACACACTGCCAGTGAGACAGAAACTGTCAGATAGATTCTGTCCTTCTGGGCATTATTCTTCACCTATCACATATTTAAGTACACACAACACCACTAATGAAAAGAAGTTTAAATAGCAGAACTTTGTCAAGGAAACATAAAGCAAGGAATCCCCTTCCTAAAAAACAAAGGCAGCGATATTTTTTTCATGTATAAGAACACATTTATATTTTGTGAGAAAAAGCACAAAACCTAGCATGCATAATATATAAAGACATGTGTTTGCAAATTTAAATAATTGTCTTTTATATTGCCATGACACTAAGAAAACAAATGATTAAAATATCATCTGAAAGATATTATTTGCTTTTCAGAATAATCTTTTCTTAAAGGGATAGTTCACCCAAAAATGACAATTCTGTCATCATTTACTCACCCTCATGTAGTTTCAAACCTGTATGAGTTGCTTTCTTATGTCGAACATAAAAGAAGATATTTAGAAGATTGCTGGTAATCAAACAGTTGGTGGTTGCCATTGACTTCCATAGTAGGAAAAGAAAATACTATGGAAGTCAATGGCAACCACCAAATCTTCAATCTAATTTTAAACAGACAGCCTAGCGCCCCCTGGGGGTCTGTGGACAGCAAAAAAAAAAAAAAAACTATTGTCAGGATTTACTAAACACATGCAGTTAAAAATATAGTGATGAAAAGGGATGGAATGTAATTTTAATAATTCACTAAAAGGTGCTAAATGAAAAATAAGTAAATTATTTTTCTTATCATTATTTGACACCAGTTACTGGTGAAGGGTGTCAAGTGAGCAAAAAAGACCTCTGCCAAATAAAAAAAAAAACAGGAATTTGAGACTCAGCAGACTTCAAAAGGGAAATAGGATGACTTAAAAGTATTAAAATTCATTTAAATTATAATTAATATATTCAAATATCAAACCCTCATTTAAATTAAATGATAACAAACACAAAGTCATGACTTTGCCCCCTCCCCTCCCCTCAGTAACTATTATTTTTATTGAAGAACATGATTCCATGGGGACCCTGAGTCAAAAAGGTGGAGAATGATCAGTAGAGAGCGTTATTGTTTGATTAGAAGCACACTCACTCCTGCCTCCAAGCAGCTGATACACACCACTGTATTCACCAACACTGAGGCACACACACATGGATTATTATCTGAACATTCACATGTGATAGCACAAATAGTGCACACATGACTGATATAGCTAACACAATACATAAAAAAAAAAAAAAACAGACTTTTATTACCCGAAGCACTTCTACACAATTAGAAAGCAAATATGTCTATAGCAGAAAAGGGAACAGGGAAAACTTTACCACAGAGGGGGATTAATATGAAATAATGTGAGGATATGCCTGTTTATTTGTTTGATTTCTTGCTTTTCTGCCATACAGACAGACAAATGCAATGGTCCGGCGTGACACTCTCTGCGTGGACCAGTGATCTTATCCAGCATTCTGATGGAAGCAGCGAGCTTGGAACTTGGAATGTCTAACAAACAAAAACAACAGCGCTTTGTAGTTTGGACGTCTGAGCGCAGTCAGCGACCACCCGCATA